CCACCACCACCCTCAGTGGATGAGTTCTGTTGACCTCTGTTTCCACTCCAGGTGACAGGGTTCAGGATCCACTACCCCAAGCACAACTTCAGGAGAGTAGCACTCATCGCCCTAAAACATGCCATTGTGACCTGAAGATTACATGGAGTTTACCTTCAGAAGTGACAGGCACTGGTGTATGGTGGTTTGAATGAATGTCACCATCGCGTCTGGTGTTTTAATGTTTTTCCCCATTTGGTGGCCCTGTTTGGGGAGACTTAGGAGGTGTGGCCTTGCTGAAGGAAGTATGTCACTGGAGGCAGGTTTGGGGAGCTTAAAGACTTGGCTATTTTGAGTCGGCTCTCCCTACATCTTGTTTTCTGTGAGATGTGAGCTGTTGCTTCAGACACCATATCTGCTGCTTGCCGCCATCCTTCCCCACCATGGTAGCGACAGAGTCTTATCCCTCTGGAAGCCGAATCCCCCAAATCCCTTCTTCCTATAAGCTGGTCTTGGTGTTTGATTACAGCAATAGAAACCTTAACAAATACAACTAGGGGAGAATAACCCTCTTACAAGAGAGAGTGACATCACTAAAGGAGATCTTTACATATCAGAGTGGCCCCATCTCCACACCCGGGCAGCGACAATCACTTCCTGGGTACACCGGCCCACACGGAAGGCACCTACGCCAACCTGCCTAACAAAGCTAGCCCTGGACAGTCAGCCAGGTCTTTGCTTCTTCCTCTGCTCTGGGCACACAGGGTATTGAAGCTCAAAGCTTAGCCTGCTTTCCATATGTGCTCATCCTTCTGGCTCATCTCGTGGATAAATGTTTCAGAACTTCTGATTCCTGTTCTCTTCCTGAACTGCCTTGTTACAGGAGGTCCCAGTGCAGCCCCAGGAAGAGTTGCTGCAGAACTTTTCCTGGGGAGGTTTAAAGAAGCATATTTACCCCAGACAGGTCACCGATGATAAACCAAAGAAACAGTCCCATCCAAGCCCACCTGGGTGAACCAATGACTTCATTGGAGTCACTTACGGGGGCATGGGTGACTCAAAGGTAGTGGAGTCACCAAAAAGTCCTGCCCCAGCATGGGTGACTGTGGCAGCTGGTTTCTCTGTCAACTTGCCATAAGCTAGAGTCATCTGGGAAGAGGGTACAATGGAGAAAATATCCCCACCAGGTTGGCCTATGGGCAAACTGTTGGTGCATTTTCTTGATTGATGATTGATGTAGGGGGGCCCAGCTCACTCTGGGTGGTGCCACCCCTGGGCTGGTGGTCCTGGGTGCTTTAAGAAAATAGGCTGAGCAAGCCACGGGGAACAAGCCAGTAAGCATGGCTCCTCAATGGCCTCTGCAGCAACTTCTGTTTCCAGGCTCCTGCCCTGCTTGAGTTCCTGCCGTGACTTCCATGGATGATAGACTGTGATGTGGAAGTGTAAACTGAAATAAACCCTTGTGTCCCTACATTGCTTTGGGTCATGGTGTTTTATCACAGCCAGGGAAACCTAACTGAGATAGTGATGGCTCATGGAAGCAGCTCTAGAGTTCCTGTCCCCCAGTCAACCTTCCACTTTCTATATACTCTAGCACTTCCAAGACCACGTGGGGCAGAGAGAAGCAGTGGCTGGACTCTCAGGCCAGGGTCTGATGAGAGCCCCTTTCTGTGAGGGGACATTAAAGGCCTCAATATCAGTACCAGAGAACTGGCAGTCACTGTGTTTTTCTACTGTACTTCATCGCCATAGTTGAGGGCCAAGGTGTTCCGCAGGCCATGATAGCAATTCTGTCTCATGTTGGCCCACGGTCACGTGACCCTGGGAGGCACTAGCCTCCACCAGCACCGTCCCTGTCCCATGAACCTCTGCCCTTGATTGGCCTTCACACCGTGTTTTCTTGCAGATTTAACGCTTTTGTCAGTGTCTTAGTTGTTAGGTCGTGCTCTAGCTGCCTCTCTCCCAGAAATCAGGCCAGGCCCCTGCTATGAGGAATAGCGCACACAGATCTTGGGGAGGAAAGGAAACCCAGCCCCTCCCCCTGGCAAATGCAAGGTGTTCGCCTCTGCTTTCTTCAGCCCCTTCCCGTCTATACACCCACCCCTTTGCCTCAGAGGAACAATCTCTCTCTCTTGTCAAATGAAATGTTGCCTGACTCTAGAATTAAAAATTTGTCCACTGACGTGATCCACTCTTACAGAAGCCTGAAGGGCAACTCAACGGGTAAAAACGTTTTCTTTGGGAGCCTGATGCCCTGAGTTCTATCCCTGGAACCAGCTTAAAGGAGAGAGAGAGAAAACCAACCTCACAGAGTGGTCCTCAGGCCTTTACATGCACGGGTGGCATGCACACACCCACTTCCACTCCCACAGGAGTACACACAGTATTAAGTCCATTGAAGATTTTAAGTGGCTAATCCAGTTTCTATAGAGGGCAAAATTCCACCCATCCTCCAGGGAGGGGAGGGGGGACGCTACGGTGGTTGGTTTCGATGTCAGCTTGTCACAAATTAAAATCACCTGAGTAGGTACTCTCACCTGAAGAGTTGTCCTGATTACCTCACTGATGTAAGAAGGCTCACCCCAATGCTGGTGGCACTTTCTGGTAACAGCCCAGATAAAAACGGGGATGTCAGAAGGAAGATTATCTGCCTTTTGCTTGACGCCTTCACTCCTGACCTCTGGTTGATTTCCCCTGTTCCTGCTGCTGCTGCTGATTCCTTCGCTGACATCTCATCAGCATGTCCAGGCTTCCATCACTGAGCAAGGACCAATGGCTCTCTGAGCACTTTCCAGGTTTTAGACACCAGACTGGGACCTGCCGGGGCACCCAGCCTTGTGGACCAAGTGACTACTGGGCTGTCAGCCTCTCAGGAGTGAAAGGACTGTTGTTACTATTTTACCATAAGCTGATTTCATAATAGAGAATTTATTTATATATGATAAACTATTTATATCCTATATGTGATGTAAATAATATATATCTTATTAGTTCTGTTCCTTTAGAAACCCCTGATTAATACAGGGGCAGATCTCCTGTGACGCCAGTGATTTCTAAAGAGCCCACCACTCTGCAACACTGTTATGTTGGGGACCCTCCACAACATTAGCCATGGTAGATTCAGATCTGAGCACTAAGTCCTGTAAAACCTCCTTATCAGTCTTTTTAAGACCATATTTTTCTATCTCAAAACAAAATCACCTGGAGAATCCAGATCCTATATATTCACATGTGACAAGTCACACTATTAACCTATGGATGCTGAGAGAAACCATGGGGAAAAGCAGTCACTGTTTGCAAGTCTCCTTTCGCTGATGTGTGTGACCCAGGCCAGATCTGGGGACCAGCCAGGTCACAGGTACTAAAATGGCCTTCCAAACAGGTCTATTGGCTAGTTGTCAAAAAAGACTGGAGAATCAGCCACTTGACCTCTTCCAGTCTGTCCCTGCTGATTTGGCCTTTTTGGCTTTCACACCCATTTCCTACCTTCAGAATATTTCCCTTGTTCAAAATGTTAAGTGTCCTATTAAAAAAATCATTTATGTGTCATTCAAGGAGGCAAGCATTCAATTTCAAGGTAGAGGACACACACACACACACACACACACACACACACACACACACACACACACACGCCCAAGCCCTAGTTCCCCTTAGAGTTCTCTCAGGTCACAGTTGTCCTGAACCCTGGGAGTGGCATTGTGGTGGATACAGACACATTTCTGTTTCTTCCAGGTAAGGTCATCCTGATGGGACCCAGGATTTAACTCTGCAGAAAATCTGGAATCTTATCACTGTTTTGGGGTTTGCAAGGTGGGTTTGGGGCCGTGGCATGGGTTCTGAGGGTACCCTCTGGGGGGCTGTCACTGTTAGAGAAGAAGAACAAGAGAAGGTCACCCCTTGCAGGAGGCCACAGAATCTCTGCATTTCTGCCCAGGGAGTGCTTTGGAAGGATCTTTGAGCATCACAATTAGGAGAGAGAGAGAGAGAGAGAGAGAGAGAGAGAGAGAGAGAGAGAGAGAGAGAGAGAGAGAGAGAGATTGGCACTGGTAGCACTAATTATTATTATTTAATTTATTTGGCCAAAGAGCTCTGTTAGAGAAGCCAAGAATGTGGGACATGCTGAGAAAGACACCCAACCAGGGCTCCGAGAGAATGCCAACTTGGGACCAAGCAGAAAATGCCACTTGTTTTAGCTACTGCCCTTGAGAAATGACAGTGTCCGTACTCAGGCTACTTCTTTTTTAAAGGGCCAAGGGTAGGGCCAGAGAGGACCTAGCAGGTAAAGGTACCTGCTGTCAATCTCCAGAACCTCCGTGATAGAAGGGATGAAGGGACTCCTGCAAGTTGTCCTCAAACCCCCACATAAACCTCACCACACACAACTAAATACACGTAAAAGAAAAGTTTAAATGACCGAGGGGACAATGTCTGGATTTTATTCATCACTCCCAGGTCATTCCAGGCCACCAAGAGCTTCCAAGAATGACTCTTTAGGGAGCCAAGCCTTCCACCATAACACATGGTCATAACTTGAGGTTACTCATTTGGAGGTAATTGGGATTTTAAAATCATCTTCTCAGTGTTGCTCAGCCCGGACCCTCCAGAAGATGGCAGCAGCGAGGCTGCCCAGCAGTCATGGGGCAGAAATATGTGCAAGGGGTTCCCTCTTGTCGGGATGGGTGTGACTTTTCACAACCCGTCAAGCTGCTCCTCTTGGGTAGAATAGTCAAGGCAGGAGGAGTGTTTAGTTAAATACTATTGAGCCAGAATGTGGGGAAGTAGGAAAGCCACGCTTTTCCTGAGCCTTGATCTAATTCAAGTGCTGTGTGTTTACACCCAGTTTCCAGGCAGCCTATGCTGTCCCTTGACTTCTGGGAGGAGTATGACGGACTGTGGAACTGAAATTGGGTGACTACTAATGCAGGTTACTGGTAAAGGGGGGGTCTCTGAATATTTTGGGTGTCTCAGAAATGGCACCAGCCTTTTCCTTAGACAAGGAGAGTCACTTTATATTCCACTGGCAGTTCAAGAGTTCATTTTATTTCTAGAATAGAATCACACACGATCTTGTTAATATAAATAGACTGATGTACAAATCCAACTGTTATACAAAAATGCATATATGTGTAAATGCAGGCATTTATAGTCTGGTATATTTTTCTAATCAAAAGATACTTAAGACATGTGCACTTAAATATATAGTATTTGAGATAAGATAATATGCATAAGTCATGGTTTTTACAGTCAAACAACCACAGATGAAAAATATTTTTTTGGGAAAAAATCCAAAATGTTAGTGTTATCAGTTAGGTTTTTGTGCCAACCTGACACATGCCAGCAACAACTGAGAAGAAGCAATCTCGGTCGAGAAAATGAAGCCATCGGACTGACCGGTACGCAAGCCTGTGCAGCATCTTCATGATTAATGGTTGACATGGAAGGAATCCAGCCCCCTGTGGACAGTGCCATCCCGGGACAGGTAGTCCTGGGTGGTATAAGAAAGCAGGCTAAGTAAGCCATAGGGAGCAAGCTAGTAAGCAGCACCCCTCCATGGCCTCTGCATTAGCTGCTGCCTCTAGGTTCCTACCTCAAGTTCTTTTTCCCACTGTCCTTGATGATGGACCATAGTTTCGAAGTGAAATAAAGCCTTCCTTCCCCAAGTTGCTTTTGGTCATGGTGTTTATCACTGCAACAGAAAGCAAGATAAGACAGCTCCCAAAAGCAACGTTTGGAGTTGCCATACCCTGAGCCCTATGCTGAATCCACACAGACGCAGTGCTCTGTAGGTGCCTAGCATGCTTCACATTATCTACGGATGATGGAAAGCGTGCTGAAGGGTTCATGGAGGTTCCAGGCAAATGGATTTTTTAGGAGGGACCTGGGCACCTGTGGGAGTCCTCAAACCTGTGGGTGACTGCACAGATGTCTGCTGTATTAATGTGAGTCACAGATCCTGCATAGTACATGAATTCTTTGAGCTTAATTTCACTTTCTATTAAGACTCTAAGTGGCGCGCACACACATGTAGGATTTGCTGAAGCAGGCAGAGGCAGAAGGATTATGAGTTTGAAGCAAGCCTGAGCTACACATTTTGGGTTGGAGAGATGGCTCAGCAGTTAAGAGCACTGGCTGCTCTTCTAAAGGAGCAGTGTTCAATTCTCAGCACCCACATGGCAGTTCACAACTCTCTGTAACTCCAGTTCTGGTGGATCTGACACCCTCACACAGACATAAATGCAGGTAAAACACCAATGCACATGAAATTAAAATAATAATAATAATTATTATTTTTTTTTTTAAAAAAAGACTGTAGGAAGCAATTTTTGGAGCAAGCCAGGCTATCTGTAACTGTTCATAGCTGTCATGATGAAGTTAATGCTGAAGCCCAGAACATCTGTGTCAGCCACTTGTCCAGAAGGAGGGGTCTGGAGTGAATTCTAGTTCCCCTGCATGTGCTCAGTGTTCCTTAGAGGTCTGGAACCCTCGTCACCCTCCAAGTGACCTGTGCTAGACTGTATCAGGAATCAGAAAATTACTTTCACCTTGACTGCCTCTCAGTGGCAGAGGACCCAAGTCCATCCCCACCAGCAAAACCTCCCTAGATGGACATTATCCATAAATGTCACATGGGAGAGGAGGAGAGATGCCATGGAGTGGAGAAGCTTGGACCTGAGTCAATCACCCTTTGGCCCAGTTTTCTGGTCTGTAAACCAGTTGTTGGAAGACATGGCTGGTAGGATCTTCTGGTTTTAATATTTCAGTCTTTCTTTTCAAGTAGGTTTAAGGAGAGAATAGGGACTTATGACCACCTCCTGCTTCTGTTCCACTCTATCTATTTTTCTAGGAAGAAAAAGCTTTCTCTTCAATTCAGTGTGCTCTGGCCACCTGCAGATGCCACACAGAGGGAGCCTAAGGTTGCCACAGGCTCCCCAATCTTAAGTTCTTATTTTTGCACACACCTTTCAGTCCTAGCTTCATAAACCCCTGCTTCCTACAAAGGTCAATTTCATGTTTTTGCAACTGTATTTTTAAAAGGTGATTCTCGGGATCTGTTTGCATGATTGCTGGCAGGAAGCAAATGTCAGATCAATCCTGGGTAACTGATACATGAGAGCTCAGTTTCAGGGCTCAGCCAAAGTAGTTCCTAATAGACTCTAGATGACAGATAGGACCGTCCTTCAGTGGGAAAATCTGAAGCACAGCATTGTGGTGGATTTTGATATGCTTATCATTTTGGAAGCAGAAAGTTCATCACTATTTCATGAAATAAAATGTTACATACACACATATATATGCTTGGTATTTTACTTGTCTATTATATGAACATACATTTATTGAGTTTATTGGGGATGCAAAGTGATTTTTAAACCTTTCTACATTTGTTTGTTTATTTATTTTGTGTGTGTGCACATGCCATGGCACATGTGTGGAGGTCAGAGGACAAATTTAGGAGTTGGTTCTCTGCCTCCACCATGTGGGGACTATAGACCGGATTCCAGTCATCACATCAGACTTGGTGGCACGCACCTTTACCTGCTGAGCCATCACTCTGGTTCATATTTTTTTTTTTAAACAGAGTTTCATTGTGTATCCTTGGCTATCCTGGAACTCATTAAGTAGACCAGGCTAGCCTCAAACTCACAGAGACCCACCTGCCTCTGCCTCCTGAGTGCTGGGATTAAAGACATGAACCATAAAATGGTTTTAAAAGATTATTTGGCCAGGTGTGGTGGTATACACCTTTAATTGTACCACTTAGGAGGCAGAGGCCAGCCTGGTCTACACAGAGAATTCTAGGATAGCCAGGACTATATAGTAAGACTCTGTTTCCAAAAATATTATTTTATTTAATTACCAAACTATTCTCAGGATTAGTTTATAACACTGAGGATCATTTTAATGAATTTTAATAACTTAAAACATTATTCATTCTTCACTGAAATAGTTATTATTACTATATAGTATTACTGTTCATTACTACACTGAAGACCATGTGTAAAGGTATCAGGACCTTGCCTGGCACTGTCACTCATCTGTTGTTAATAGTATTTTGATAAAGTGTTCTTGAAGGGTGATTATTGACAATAAATCTCAAAAACATCTAGGTTATTTCCCCAGTAGCAGCTGATGTAATAAGCAGGTTGTCTTCAGTGAATGCTGGCTGGTTGCATTCAGGGTTGCTTTAGCCGAGGTGTGATGAGCTTGCTAGTTTTGAAGAGGAGTTACCCTGCCTGTGAGAAGGAAGACCTGGTTTATTTTTCTTTCATTTCATATATAAAAAAAATCTCAAAGTCTTGTGTGTTCAGAAGTACCACAGCGGCTCTTAGTTTGCTTCCTATTGCTTTGATAAATGCCACAACCAAAAGCATCTTGGGGTAGTGTGGTGGTTTGAAAACGATCCCCTTTGGTTCATATGTTTAAACCTTTGGTGCCCAGTTGGTGGAACTGTTTGGGAAGGATTAGGAGGTGTGGTCTTGTTGGAGGAGGTCTGTCACTGGGGATGGCTTTGAGGTTTCAACAGCTCACACCATTCCCAGTTACCTCTCTGCCTCATGATGATGGATCAAGATGTGTGAGCTCACGGCTACTGCTCTACCTGCCTGTCTGCTGTGAGGCTTCTGACCCTCTAGAATTGTAAGCCCCCCCCCCCCCCGCAAACTCCTTTATAAGTTGCCTTGGTCATAGTGTTTTATCACAACAATAGAAAAGTTAACAGAGACAGGGAAGAAAGGGTTTATCTCACCTTGAAGATTATAGTCAGTCATGAAGGGCTGTCAGGGTGGGAACTCGAAGCAGGAATCTGGAAGCAGAAACAGAAGCAGAGACCACAGAGGAACACTGTTTACTGGCTTGTTCTCTATTGCTTGCTCTCTTTGCTTTCTTGCGTAACCCAGGACCACTTGCTCAGGGATGACACCATCCACAGTGAGTCCATATAAATCATTAATCAAGAAAATGTCCCACAAACTTACTTACAGGCCAATATGATGAATCCCATTTTTTCTTAGTTGAGATTTCCTCTTTTCAGATGATTCTGGCATGTGTCAGGTTGACAAAAACTGACCAACACACTAAATGAGTGTTCCCTAGATTCCCTCCAACCATGAGCTCTCTGGAAGAAGCACAGTGTGTTTGGGTTTGAAGGGCCCATCAGTCTCCGGAGTCAGGAAAACCTGGCAGTCAACAAGAAGTTCTGCACACACATCTCCTCACTAGTAAGTGTCAAACTGTAGTCTCTGCCTTTGCGATGTGGCCGGGATGGCATAATATTCATTCTTAGGGGCCTCCAAATGTGAACAGTACTGCTGAACCTGGGAACCCTGCTCTTGCCTCTTCTTTGGTTGTGATGGAGGTAAATTCAATAAGCATTTGCAAAGACATGGTTTTTTTTTTTGGTATTGTTTTTAAAAGAGAAACAAATGTCTGTTTGCAAGATTGCTCTGACAAGCTAAATGTCAGTGCAATATGAGTTAGAGCCTATACTGTCCTCCAAAGACACCGACAGTAGGGCAACTTAACTCTTGTGGGGGAATTAGCTTTGAATGGCTTTCTTTTTCCATTCATAGTTGTTAGCTGCGCTCTGTTGAACACAACCCCTCCTTTCTCTCTGGGCAAGACCTTCCTTAATGACAAAGTGGTCCGATTACATAAACACAGACTCTTTTCTGTTATTGCAACATTCTCATTCTAAAAATAACTACTCCTCTTTGGGGTTTTAAACCACACATTAATTTCTTTAGGCAAGGTATACTATATATGCAGTTCAATTGTCTTAAGCATAATAGCCAATGAATTTTAACAAGTGTGTGGACCTCCGTAAGGTATCTAAAAATTGAGGGTGTGTCAGTTTGAATGTATTACTGAAAACTCGGTCTCCAGTAAAGTGCTGCTGTTACATTTAGGAATGGAAATAACACTTCCCCTTAGAGAAATTTTACTTCCTCACTTACCTCTCCCTGTGTTTTCCTGTCTGTCTGTGTGTGAGTCTGGATTTGTGCCTATCTGAATGCTGTCCTATGAATCTGTCTGACCCTGTGTCTGTGTGTCTGTCCCTAACAGAGGACCTTGCTCTGTGTTTACTGAACAGCACAGAAAGCATCCCACGGGACAGGAATGAGAGCTCCTTACAGAAATCTTGAACAGAGTTTACAAGGGATGAAGTTACTCCCTCCACCTGCCCCCAGCTCACTCAGATAACAAACAAACAAACACTCTCTCAAGAAAGAGAAGAATGCTGCTTTCAGCCTTTGTGATGGATAGGATTATCATAACACACATACATTACTCAGGGGCATGGAAGAAAACAATTTTAACATTACAGCTACGCATTAGCTTAGGTTGTAAAAGCTGATTGCATGGAAAACCCAAGGCAAGTGAGGTTGGTCATTACTTGTTCTCTTAAAAGGCAGTTTAAACAAATGGACTGAGCACACAGTAGGCCAGTAATTTCACGTCTTTTTTTTTTTTTTTTTTTTTTTTTTGGTTTTTCGAGACAAGGTTTCTCTGTGTAGCCCAGGTTGTCCTGGATCTCACTCTGTAGCCCAGGCTGGTCTCTAACTCACAGAGATCTGCCTGCCTCTGCCTCCCAAGTGCTGGGATTAAAGGCGTGTGCCACCACCGCCCAGCACAATCTCACATCTTAAAGGACCCTTAATGTGTATCATTAACTTTGGCTGGGAGCTCCAGCAAAAAGGTCCAGTTGCTTACAATGTTAGGGGTATTTTCATGACAACGGTCATATTATTTGAAGCAGCAAACCCATAACAAATGTGGTGGCACCTTTCTGTGGTCACCCAGATGAAGGGGATCAAAAAATGGACTTTGCTTTTTTTTTTTTTTTTTTTTTTTTTGGTTTTTCGAGACTTTGCTTTTTGTCTGCTTGTCCTCCATCTTGCTGTCAAGTTCATCTGTCCTGTGGGTGTGGATCCTCTAGTCCAGTGGTTCTCAGCCTTCCTAATGCTGTGACCCTTTAATACAGTTCCTTAGGTTGCAGTGACCCCTGAAACTAAAATTATTTCAGTTGCTACTTCATAACTGTAATTTTACTACTGTTATGAATCATAACGTAAATCTCTGGAATGCAGGATATCTGATCTGCCACCCAAGAGGCTGAGACCCACAGATTAAGAACCATTGCTTCCAGCACTTCGGCACCACATTGGGATTGTGGACCACCAGGTTTGTGGACCAAGCAACAACCAGATTCTTGGCCTTTCTATGGTGAGACAAGCATTGTTGGGCTACCCCAACCCCATCCTGTAAGCCGATCTAATAGGTCTTCTTTTAACACACAGACACACGTATAACATAAGGCAATACATTGTCATGAAAATATCCCTAACATTGGTAGAGACCGGAACTTTTTGCTGAAGCTCCCAGCCAAAGTGTGGGTAGTGCCATCTCTAGGCTGATGGTCCTGGGTTCTATAAGAAAGCAGGCTAAGCTAGCTATAAGGAGCAAGCCAGAGAACAGCACCCTTCCATGGCCTCTGCACCAGCTCCTGCCTCCAGGCTCCTGCTCTGCTTGAGTTCCTGTCCCGACTTCTTCCATGATGTGGAAGGGTAAGCCAAATAAACGCTTTTCCTCCCCAACTTGCTTTTGGTCATGGTGTTTTATTTATAGCAATAGTAACTCTAACTAGGAATACACTACATACACACACACACACACACACACACACACACACACACACACACACAAAATCAGTTCTGTTCCTCTAGTGACTAACAATACACCCTATAAACAGGAGGATCCGGGCTTGAATCCCCAAAACCAAAGTAAAAATACAGGCGCAGCAGCACATGCTGCATCCCCAGCACTGAGGGGGCTGAGACAGGAGGATCCCTAGGACTTGCTGGCCAGCAAATACAGCCAATCAGGGACCTTCAAGTTCAGTGACACACCCTGTGTCAACAAAAGGTGGAAAGCAATTGAGGAAGACATTCTGTGTCAACCACTGGCCTCCAAATCCACACACACACACATATGTGCATGCACACAGGGTATCAATGCATTTATGTACTGGCAACTAAAAATATGCAAATGGAATTAAGAACGCAGTTTAACCAATAATAGCATCAAAAGGAATAAAATACTTACAAATATCCTTCTCTAAAGTGCAAGTCGTGTGTCCTGATTGCTTTCTGCCTCTGTGACCAGACACCAAGCAAAGCTGATGGGGGAGGAAAGGGATTATTTCACCTAACAGGTTGGAGTCTGTCACTGAAGGGAAGCCGGGACAGGAACCTGGAGGCAGGAACTGAAGCAGAGGCCGTGGAGGAAAGCTGCTTACTGGCTTGCTCAGTTTGCTGTCTTTACAGCCAAGGAACCATGGGTGGCACCCCACAGTGAGCTGAGCCCTCCCACACCAATCATTAATCAAGAAAATGCCCCACATTTTTGCCTACAGGCCAATCGGATAGATGGAAGTCCACAATCTAGGCCCTTTTCCCTGGTGATCCCAGTGTGTGTCAAGTTGCCAAAAACAAAAAACAAAAAACAAACAAACAAACAAAAAACTAACCAGCTGAAAACTATGGAACTTAGTTGAGTTTAAAATAAATATAAGTGAAAGATGTCTACTTTGTGGACTAGATGACAACATTTGTAGGCTGCTGACTTGACCTACAGGTTTAAGATGACTCCAGTCAAAATCCCAGCTGCCTTTCTGACAGAAATTAACACGTGCATCTTAAAACTCACAGAAATTCACGGGGCTCAGAGTAGTGAACGAAGTTTTCAAAGAGACGAAGAAGGTCGGAAGATTCACAACTTCTAATTTCAAAGCTTTACATTGAAGCTCCCATAATCCTGGCAGTGTAAGAGTTACATAAAGGTGCACACGGATATCAATAAGGCTGTTTACAAACAAAGCCCTGGATTTATGGTTGGTTGGCTTTTGACAAAGGTGCGATCCTGAAATCAGAGCAGCTGTTTCATCCCCGCAGGATCAGGACTGTTAATGTTCCCTCACAGAAGGCGTGAGGGAGAGGCAACAGATCATCAGCTGAGTTTACCGCCTCTCCATAGCGCCTGTCTGTCCCCAGCTGACATAACCCCGCCACAGCTGCACTGGCTCGGGAGAAGCTGGTGTGCACAGATGGTGGAAGGTTAACTGGATGGACAACTCCATCAGTACAGCTTCTGGGGGTTGTCCTTCATGGAGAGGTGGGGTTGGTCTGTGATGCGGCTGTTTGAGGGTGTCATTCATGCTCCTATAAATAACCCCAATAAGCTCATTGGTTGACCAAGTTGGACTTGGATGGAGTCATTTCTTTTTTTTCTTTTCTTTTTCTTTTTTTAAAGATTTATTTATTGTGTATACAATATTCTGCCTGCATGTATGTCTGCAGGCCAGAAGAGGGCACCAGATCTCATTACAGTTGGTTGTGAGCCACCATGTGGTTGCTGGGAACTGAACTCAGGACCTCTGGAAGAGCAGTCAGTGCTCTTAACCTCTGAGCCATCTCTCCAGCCCAGATGGACTCATTTCTTTGGGCTGTCATTGGTTTCTGATTTGAGATGAATAATCATTCATATCAGACCAGAAAAAGTAACACATTTTTTCCCCATCAGATGATCCTGGGACAACTAGCGACACACAGAAAGAAAATCAAGTTTGACTTCTACCTCATACCATAGACACAAAATGAACTCAAACTGGATCACAACCCTACATGTAAGAACTGAAACTGTGAAGAAAATCCACAGTGATTACTTTGAATTAGGCAGTGGCTCCTCAGCTGTAATACCAAACACACAAACAGCAAACTGTGGTGATACATCCTGCTAGAACGAGGA